GTGACCTCCCAGTGTGACCTCCCAGTGTGACCTCCCAGTGTGACCTCTGCAATATGACCTCCCAATTCATAAACTCAATGCACTGACCAATAAAAACAAGCATACCGAACGCCGCCTTCACTATCCTATCTACTTGCCCACTCCACTTTCAAGGAACTATGAACTTGCACTCCAAGGTCTCTTTGTTCAGCAATACTCCCCAGGACCTCACCATTAAGTGTACAAGTCCTGCCCTGATTTGCCTTTCTAAAATGCAGCACCTCGCATTGATCTAAATTAAACTTCATCTGCCACTCCTTGGCCCTTAGGCCCATCTGATCAAGATCTAACTGTACTGTCCACTATATTTCCAATTTTGGTGTCATCTGCAAAATTACTAGCCATGCCTGCTATGTTCATATCTATATCATTTATATAAATGGCGAAAAGCAGTGAACCCAGCATCAATCTTTGTGGCACACTGCTTGTCACAGGCCTCCAGTCTGAAAAGCAGTTCTCTACTTTCACCCTCTACATTTGAGCCAGTTCTGTATCCAAGTGGCTAGTTCTCCCTGTATTCCATGTGATCTAACCTTGCTAACTAGTCTACCATGAGGAACCTTGTCAAATGCCTTGCTGAAATCTGTATAGATCATGTTGGTACCTGACCTCATCTATTAACATACCTTTGCTTTCAAATTCTCATCCAACTGCCATATACCTCCTCCTTGTGGTTTATTTTTCTATAAGACTAGTCTGTCCGTAAAAGTGAAAACAGTAACATTCAAGAAGAGAAAGAATGGGCCTTGAGAGCTTAGGCACCTGTGAGCAGGGCTTCCTCTTGCTATTCACTTTGTCAGTGCAGTTTTATACAGTCAGGATCTTTCATTGTCAGTTGCTCTGAAGCGAGCAGTATGTGGGGTGCCAGAAACATTAGCAACCCAAGAGCCAGGCTGTATTTTTAGAAGCAGCCTGAAGGCGTGATTAATGTGACTGGAGTTATGTGGCTTTTAGGTTTCTTTCTGGTCCACAGGATTGGACGAACATTTTGTCATTCCAGAATACCAGCCATCCTGTATCATTTCCCCAGTGCTCCATCCAACAGAGTTCAGTAAACAAGTCTAAACCATCTTTCCTTCCGTAATTACTCAATATTGTAAATCACACCCCGCAATCCATCAGGTGCACTGATCTGATTCATTATGACAGTAGTAAATTAGTTTTATACCGAAATGTTACCATGTGCAGATGTTTTGCAGGATCTATTTAATGTAGACTGTTGAATATTCTGTTTTAAAAAATGTTAAGACACTGTGTGTGACAAGCCCTTCTTTAATGCCTAGTCTATGATGTCATGCTGGTGATGACCTTCTCCTTTAACTACTGCAGTCTGAGAGCTGGGCTACTCCATGGTGCTAGTGGATAGTTCTTATCCACAATTTCTTTCCTCAAGCCCGCCAGTCACATGTCTTTGTGTTAATTTGTATACGTTTAAATATGGAACTATTCACTTGCCCAGCTCAGTGAGATTCTCATCACTTTGATCTTTTGAAGTAACATGTTAAGCAGAACTTACTAATACTTGATATTGCAGTAATCAGTCACCAGAATTTTGGACTGATAATGTGGTTCAAGACCCGTAACCAGTGTGGAATGCAAATTAACAGCCCCATTGTCTGCTGAGAAAGTTACTGCCTCTACTGTAGGCTGTGGAGCACTGACCAGTCATAGTCATACAGCACAGAAACAGACCCTTCAGTCCAACCAGTCCATGCCGAACATAATCCGCAACTAAACTAATCCCACCTGCCTGCTCCTGGCCATATCCCTCCAAACCTTTCCTATTCATGTATCCATCCAAATGTCTTTTAAACGTTGTAATTGTACCTGCATCCACCACTTCATCAGGAAGTTCATTCCACACGTGGACCATTCTGTGTAAAAAAAATTTGCCTGTTAAATCTCACTCCTCTCACCTTAAAAATGTGTCCCCTAGTCTTGAAATTCCCCATCTTAGAGTTGATAGTAGTTGTCTTTTCCCTATCTATACCTCTCATTATTTTATAAACTTCTATCAGGTCACCTCTCAGCCTCCTACGCTCCAGTGAAAAAGGTCCCAGCCTATTCAGCCTTTCCTTGTAACTCAAGCCTTCCATACCTGGCAACATCCTGGTAAATCTCATCTGAACCCTCTCCAGCTTTGCAAGTACAACTTTCATGAATCAGTTATAACCTTATCTAAAAAAACAATCAAAACCTGAAATTGGCACTAAGATAAGTAATGATAAAGAAAGATACTTCTGGACATCCTAGGACAGGGTAACTGACAGATTATTTTACCAGGATAAGAGGCAACTCTACTTCAGGGACTGTGCACAGTCTTGATAAATTGACTCAAAATTGCATTCTTGGTATCCTTAGAATTTTTTGAGGATGTTTTAGTTCTTGGGAAATCATAGTAAGGCAGCCATTCAACCCCTCAAGCCTGATCCATCTATTCCATCAGATCATAGCTGATCTGTACTTCAATTCCATTCATATGCCCATTAAAATGTTCCTTGGTACCGTCATCCAGCAGTGATGCAGTTATCAATACTCATTTACAGTGGTACCATTTTAAATGCCTTTATCATCTTTTAAAGTATCAAATAAAAGTAATACTCATGAGTAATGCAATTTAACCTTTACCCAGCAACTAGGTGTTTTAATACCATACTCCTTAAAATGCTCAGAATTTGAGATCAAATGGAGTCTTTCTTTTTGACTGCATTTGAGGACCTTGACTGTCAGACTTGCAAGTATAAGTTATACACTCATTAAACAATTACCTGGTGCCCACTTCAAGACCTTTATAGGTAACCATAATCCAAAAATCTTGCCACTGGGGGACTGATACCAAGTGATTTGGTTGACAGCATTTTATGGGCCATGGACAAGTGAAACGAGGGATTTGCACAGTGATATCAGTGGCTGAATCAAGTTTTAGAAGCTTAAATCCCCTTTAACTCCTGGTGCCCGTTTCATCGTCTGTTTGATCATGCCCTTTTAATGAGCTCAGTGATTCTGAATCCAAATAAATCTATTCAAAACCACAATCTCTTCCACAGAAATTGTCATAAT